AGCCCTGGGCTTAAAATTACGAGCATTACAATTCCGCGCATAATGGCCGGTCCTCCTACAATGAAAACATTTTCCGTGGGGTCTGCTTATTAATTTTGGAGGCTGCAGAGTTTGTTTTAAAGCCTCGACGAGCGTAATTGTTTGTAAATGGGCTGGATCGATATCAGAACACAAGCGAATAAATTCTGAAACTGTGCCCTTTTTTCTATGGGGTCTGAGAACATCTTGACAATATTTATTTGCACTTTCAAATGCCAATTGCTTAACAATAACTCACAAGCACCTGGATCACCAATGGAACGGTTTGCAGTTTGGTAGAGCCATGCTACGAAATCAGAATAAAGCTTATTGGGACCTTGTTTAACTTTAGTCAGAACTAAGCTAGATTGGTCCCTGGAGACAATCTGTCTCCAGGCATACTTTGCACAGGCTATAATCTAATCATACACTGAAAATTCATAATTTGGCTGCCTTTCCAAATCAATAAATTCACCCATTCCTAAAAAATCTCCATGGGTGTTTGGAAATCTTGCCTCTGATTCCTTTCTGCTTGCTCGGAACAAAAGTCTGTCCAGTATGACCTCCAAAGTAGGAAATCCCCCCACTCAAGCAAGCCCTGGTGATGGAAATCCAGTCACTCGGTGGGAGCGGTTGAGAGCAAATAATCTCAAGCAAGTTCTGCACGAATGGTGAATTTGGACCTTAGACCTCACAGGCGTTTTTTAACTCTTTAATAGTTTTAAAAGGAATTATCAAGTGGACGCGAACACGCTGGTCTTGATCATTAACCTGTTCAAAAACTGGGAAGAGCTGAAATTTGCTAGTATCTTCCCCGGCTTCCTATGCCTTCCTAATTCCCCACTGGAATGGAGTAAGAAAAGTCATTGCCAGCTCAGAGTATCTGTTAAAATTTGTCCTTTTAACAGACAATGGCTGAATTCGAATGGCCAGGGCAGGTGCTGTTAAGCACAGCCTATTGAAATTCCCTGGTAAATCCTGGATTTCATTGTCTGATTCCTCTCCCTCAGACTGCGATTCCTCGGTAGATTCTCCCCTGTTGCCATCTTGAATTTGAGCTTGTAAGCCACATGGAAGAGAAGGACTTTCTATCTCTCTATGAATTTCTTCTGGATTCTCCTATCTGGGAGAAGGACCTACTACCCCCCTCAGAGGCTTCCTCTCTATGATCTCCCTCTCAATGTTCTTCCTCCAGACTACTCTGGCTTGGCTCAGGCAAGGCTAAGTTTTTTACTTTTGATTTTGCCCAGAGGTTTTTTGTTTGAATATAATTTGTCTTAGTTTTTAGACTGCTTAGAGGAAAGGAGATTTCCTTAGCCTCAGGCAATTTTTCCATTTGAATAGACTTAATGGCTCCCTGAATACCTTTCAATAGATCTTGGGGGGGTGGGGCTCGGACTGTGGCCCACGTAATCAAAAAGACGGATCTCTAATGCAGTCTAAACCTTTTGAATATTCTCAAAATTTCCAGGTAATTCATTAGAAAGGCAAATTTTATGTAATTTCCTTCCTAATTTGTCCCAAGTATGTAAATTTGGTGAATCTTGGTCACAAAACCAAGGGCAAAATTCACCTACACCCTTTAAGAATTGTAGCAACTGAGTCTTTTTAATTTGCTTTCCCTTCTGATTAATTATTGTCTCTAAAATAGTCAAATACATGTCTTTATCAGTAGAAGATGAATTCCCCATTATTAAAATTTTTAACGTCCCTTTGCTCCAAAAACTGCCTGGTACTTCCATGACCCTAAAAATGTTACAAATTCCATATTTCTATAGCATGCTCCCTAACTCAAGCTAGTCAATTTACTCACGCCTCACTGCTAGGCACCACTTCTGCCATGCGACCAGTGCTGGCTTCATGAAAAAAGGTTCGATTCATAAGTAATTGCTAGGGAATTTTAAATTAAAGAGACAGGCTCTCATTACCTTTAATACCAGCTCCAGGACGGCTTCTCCAAGCTCCTGCCTCCAGCCACCTAATGTGATGGCAAGATTTACAGAAGAGATGAGAGAGAGAGAGAGAGAGAGAGAGAGAGAGAGAGAGAGAGAGAGAGAGAGAACACACCAGAGAGTGGGCTTTTATTGGGGAACAAAAACTTCCGGGGAAATCCCATCCAATGAAGGTTAAGGGGGGGCAGCATCCCAAGGTCAGGGGTGACGATTGGGTCTTCAGGGCAGTGGCCAGGCACGCCTCTGCACGGACAAGCCCTCTGACCTGGGAAAGGGTGGGGAAGGCTCTACCACAGCTGTGTCTGAGCGCCTCTCACCCAGCCAGGGAGGTAACTCAAATCACATGCGAGGATAGCCTCCCACAAGAACAGATCCCTGGCTACCTTTCTAATTTTTTTCTGAGACTATGGATGGATTCAAGCTTTCTCCTTTGTTTTTTTCTTTTTTTATCTTTTTCCTTCTCCTTCGTTGTCATCGTCTCTGCCTCCTCCTTCACATTCTCTTCCTCCTTCTCCTTCTTATCCTTTATCATTATCCTCTCCACCTCCTCCTTTCTTCTCATCTTCCTCTCCTTCATCATGATCTTTTCCTCCTCCTCCTTGGTCTCCCCCTCCTCCTCTTACTCCCCCACCCTTTCTTTAGAAATACAGGCCATTGAACCCCAGGGTGCTCTACCACTGAATTATAGAAACTACATACCCAGCCCCCCACTTTTTTTTGAGGAAGCATCTTGCAAAGTTTCTGAGGTTGGCCTTGAATGGGATTCTCTTGCCTCAGCCTCCCAAGTAGCTGGGGTTATAGATGTGGGCCTGTGCCTGCCTTCTCTCTCTCTCTCTCTCTCTCTCTCTCTCTCTCTCTATATATATATATATATATATATATATATATATATATATATATATATGGAAAACACTTTTTATGTCTGTAGTTATGCTCCAATTCTCATTCCTAGTATCACTTACTTATGGCTTAAATGTTTTAGTCATAGGAATCAATATTTTTTCTTTAGATGGGTCATTTTTTTAAAAATTAGATTTTGGTGTTGCTGATTTAATAGCTCTTTTTTAAATTGTCCTTTAGGCATATGCTTGATAACAGTTAGAATAAAACTTGATTTTCAAAGGCTTACTGAGTTGGATTTATGTTTCTCATATAACAGGGAGCAGGGGACAGCATTTGCTGGCATTGGCTAGCGCTCAGCCTTCTCGCTGGGGACCTGGGCTGGCTCTGTCCGCTCTGCCGTCCTAGGCGCCCAGGTCTTATAGATCCTGTGCTGTGGTCTGCCGGCTCCAGGATGGCTGTTATCCAAATGCTGTTCTGCAATCAAGGCAGCGAAAGAGAAGGGTGGGGGTGGGGGGGATTCTTTCTCATTTTGAGGCTTTGTCTCCTCAGGAATGAAGACCTGTCCTTCCCTCCACCAAATCCCCGCTTGACTTCATTGGTCAAGACTGCGATGGCAAGAAGATTTGAGAGACTGAGAATGTAGCTCTGCCACTCTGGACAGCAGATGGAGGGAGGCAGGGATGGAATGGGGGCTGGGCCTGAATGTGGGCAGAGCGACCTGGACTGGACACCTGGCCACTAATGTTTGTTTCTACCTGTATGACATCCTCCCCTCCAACCTGATCTGTCCACCAAAATAGTGGGGGAGTCAATGATTTATTCTTGAACTTCCAGTAGTTTTGTTTTGTAACATTTATACATTCTTATACTGTGTTGTTAGATACATAATAACTATAATAAGTTTAGTAACTAATAGGATTAAAGACAAGGGTAATTCTGTTATTAATCCAACAAAAACAAAAAAAGTTTTTTATTTAACATACTTTTTTGTTGTTGTTGTTGAATTGACAACAGAATTACCCTGTACTTTAATCTCTCTGTTTGGCCCATTTGTTGTGTTTCCAAATCTTATATTGTTTGCAGTTTGCAGTAATTGTTGCCACATTTACTATTATGTTATTGATATTTTTTCTGGTCTTTTTTTCGTATTTTTCTTTTTAATATTTTTATGTCATTAGATAGTATAAAGAGCACACTAGGTTTATCCAATCTGAGTGTCTTGGCCTTATTTTAATAGTGGGTGCTAATGCATGTAAGTGTACTTCAATATTTCACATGTATGAATTTGCTCTTGACATCTTATTTAATATTTTCTGTTTAACATAACTTTTTTTTGCTTTTGTTAGATTGATAACATAATTCTCCTGTACTTTAATCCTATTGGTTACTAAACTTAAGATTTTACTTCAGCATTTAAAGTTAATCAGCATATTTTTTCCCTCTGAACAAAACAAGAACTTTATCATGTTTTTCCATTGTATTTGCAACTCCCCTATCTTATGAATATCTATTATATACATACATACACATTTATATGTACATATAATACTCACATGTGTGTATATATTTACGCAATGATAATCATATGTGATGTTTACTGAATTATCTAGATTTGACTGTAGGTCTTGCTCTTTGATCACTGCTGTATCCTGTTTCTTTTATTCTTAAATTCATTTTGCATTTTTACCCTGCATATTGTTGAATTCCTTTAAAAGAGGTGATTAGCTTTCAAAGCACTTGAGTGACCTAAAGTGTCTTTGTTTGCCCTTGTAATTCAATGCTAGGTGAGTAGAGTATAAAATTCTAGTTTCAAGTCCATTTTCTTATAAAGGTCATGGAAAATACCTGAGCAGGGTGACTTTAAGGAACTTAAGAATCATGGGACAATGGTGAGGACCAGGGCAGCCTGGGAAAGGTCCAGGAAGTGATCCTCACCTTGCTCCTTGGATTAGATGGATGATGAGGAGCTTTAGGTCCCCTCTCTGAGCAGAAAAGGCTTCAGCCATCTGCCTGTGGCCTGGGAGTCAGAACCACTGGGGAGTGTGGTGAGGGGTAGGCTCCTTCCCCAGGCCTGCATTTAGAAAACTGGCAACATCTCACTGCTGTATCACCTAGGGAGAATGGCTGATGTACTAGGGTGAGCCTCCAGTTCTGAAGATGTTTCTCTTTTGTTCCTTCTTATTCCAGAGCCCATCCCTAAACCCCAAATTCAGATTCATTCATTATCCAACACACCAGGCTGGTGCAATGTCAGTCTGGAGTGTGGGACCCCAGAGACTTCAGAGAACTCGACAGTGACCTGGTTGAGCAACGGCTTTCCCAGGGAGCTGGAGCAGAGAGGGACACTGTCAGCTGCCTCCAACTCTAGGAATCTCAGCCTGAGCCTGCCCCTGAGTCAGTCACATGGCCATCTCACCTGTGTGGTCAGCAACTCTGCAGACCAGAAGAATGCAACCGTAGACCTGGGGAGCATCTGCCCACAGAGGGGTGAGTGTGGTCTCCCAGGAGGGGTGATGGAAATGGGATGGCAGTGAATGGGGATGGGTACCAAGTTGGGGAGGACTCAGGACAGTGATGGGACTGAGGAGTTCACTTGGTACAACCTGAAGATCCCCACTTCAGTGAACAACCACATTCTCATGAAGGTCTTCAAATCTGCAAGTCCAGGAGTTGGGCCAGTGTATGGAGACTGCAGCATCCCCGGTACTTACATACAGGACTGTTTTAGTTGCTTTTTCACTGCTGTGACTGAAAGACTCAACCAGAACAACTGTAGAGGAGAAAAGGTTTATCTAAGGGCTCACGGTTTCACAGGTCTTAGTTCCTATACAGCCAGTCCACAGGGCTCCAGGTGAGGTTGAACATCATGGCAGAAGAGTGTGGCAGAGGGAAGCAGCTCACATGATGATTAGGAGACAGAGAGAGACTCAGTTCTTCAGATGCAAAACATATACCCCATAGCCACACCCCTAATGAACCACTTCCTTCACCACACCCCACCTGCCTCCAGTCACCACTCAGTTAGTCCCATCAGGAATCAATTCTCTCGTTAGATTAACACTATGACCCAATCATTTCTCCACCAAACCTTGCATTGTCTCACACGTGAGCTTTTAGGGGACACCACATCTAAACCCCAACAGGCTGGCATGTGGGCATCCCAGTTCCCAGTATCATAGAGCCTGGGAGGCTGAATTAGTCATCAGAATCCAAGCAAGGTAGGGGGAGGACTCAAGGAGTAGGTGAACCCTCAGTGCCCACCCCCACCCCCAGACAAATGTCTGCACCCCAGACATCTCCTTCGAGGATGTTTAACATCTCTGACTATGTAAGCCACTGTCAGCGCCCTCTGGACAGCATGAGCACCTGCAGCCACCATGACTAACCAGTGCACTTCCCAGAGTCAGCCTTCGGGCTCACCTGGGCTGTGTAAAAGGCCTTCAAGGTGTGTTAGCTCTTATAAAGGAGCCATGTTTCATAAAGACCAACCCTCCCACCTTCCCAGAATTGCACAGTAGGGGCAGTGGTTGTGCAAAAGGAGGTATGATTATCAGTCACTACCCTGTTCAACCATTGTCTTCCTGACTCTGCCTGTTCCCTCGAGGGGACTTCACATCTCTTCTTTGTAATTTCTTACTCCTCCACTTAGATTCAATCCACAGACTTGCACTGAGTACATACTATATGTTGAGTGGATGGTACATGTGAAAAACAAGATAAGCCCCTTCTCCCTAAGGACAGTGCAGTGGGGACATTGACACATCCTGGCTGTGTGACCATGGATATATTACATAATTTTTAAGCCTTTCTATTTATAAGATGGCTAATATTTTTACCTACTCCACAGTTATTGTTGTGAGATTTGAAAGAGGTAATCTATGTAAACCTATCAATCAATAATTATTGGATAATACATACTAAAATGAGGAAGAAGAAATTTCTAAGTACACAAACACATATATGAATATTTTCTTCTTTTTCTTCTCCTCCTCCTCCTCCTCCTCCTCCTCCTCCTCCTTCTTCTTCTTTTTACCAAAGATTGAACCCAGGGGTGCTTTACCACTGAGATACATCCTCAGCCATTTTTATTTTTTAATTTTGAGAGACAGGGTCTCATTAAGTTGCTCAGGCTGATTTTGAACTTGTGATCCTCCTGCCTCAGCCCCCCGAGTTGCTGAGATTACAGGCATGTGCCACTGCACCTGGCTTGTTTCTAAATAGAAAGCCAGATGTTAAATGCTGAAGTTGAGGCAAATATAAAGAGTGGTTCAAGGAAATAAAAAATAAACTGAGAAACTTCTTAGGAGTTGGGGAAGGTCTGACAGAGAACAACTGAGCTGGGCCTTGAAGGATGAATAGGAGTGTTTTTGTGATAGTCTAAAAAATTCATCACAGACCCAAAGGACAACATGCTCTGAGGTGTGTAGATCCAGATCCTTCCACCCCCTCCCTCTTGCCATATACCTTCCTTCTGGAGGTCTGCAAGGAGAAAAGAGAGGCCAGGATGTACATGGCCACTCTAGGTAGAGGAAGCCTCTGAGGTTTGGCTGCGATTGGACAGAAGACTTGGAAGCAGAAAAATGAAAGAGTCACTGGCCACTCACTGGACAGAGTACGAGAAAGGACATTCTTTCGGGTTGCAGCAAAGTTGGGAGACAGATGGAGCCTGGGTGGTCATGTTTTCCCCCATCCTCTCCCTGGCTTCCACTCCTGGTTGAAACAGATCTGACACCTGGTTGTCCTTGACCTCAGGTTCTTTTCAGAGCAAATGGCTTTGGAGAGGAGTTCTTATCATGGTTCTGGTGGTGAGTCTGGGGGCTGGAGTGTGGATCTGGAAGAGAAAGAAGATGGAGACTGAGAGAGGTAGAAGCTGGGAGACACTGAGGGATGGGGGTGCTGGGGAGCGGCAGTGGATGCAGGCGGCCCTAGAGACAGTTGGCAGCCTGAGAAGTCCATGGGCAGAGAGGCACTTTCCTGGCAGCAGCTGGGGTGGAGCAGAGCTGAGGGTGGGAGGTGGTGCATGCCCAGTGAGGAAGGGCCAAGGGTGGCAGGAACAAGACAGGGTCTGGGCCCCGATTTTACAGCCTGGGAACAATGAGCTTGCCCTGGGCCTGGTGAGGGAATCACTCAATTGCACGCTTTCAATGACAGCAACTGTTCCCCAAGCCCCTCCTAGAGCAGGCTCTGATGACCCGCAGATTGGTGGACTTGACAGCCACGACCTTCCCTATGCAGAGATCAGCCCCCTGAGGCCCACTGAGGTGAGTCTAAGGGAATTGAATTAGGGCAGCTGACATGTACTCAGAGGCGGGAGTCCCAGGATGTCCAGGACACTCTGTCCCACTGTCAGGCTCTGGGTCTGTTCCCTGCCTGGAACAATGTGGCTGCATGTCTGAGGGCCCACAGCATGCTGGGAGCTGTGGTGCAAAGGGAGGTCACCTTGCACATACATCTCCACATCCGCGGTATGGTTGCCTCAGATTCTCACCGCCAGTGAGGAGGAGAGGGAGGCCAAGGGAGGTGACTGACTCAAGGACGCACAGCCTGGCAGTGAGCAAGTTGTCCTAGAACCCTGGAGGAGCTCTTCACCCACAGGCTGAAATGCAGGCCAGAGGAGAGGCCCGAGTGTAAATGGTCGAGGCTTTGGTGGGACTCTGCCGTCAGCTCAAGACCCAGAGGAAGTAAAAGCAGGGTCCCAGCAGGGTGAGCACAAGGGTTTGAGGAGCCACCTTCTTCTGACCCCTGTCCCTCTTCTCCCTGCCTGAGATCCCACCATAGATGCCACCCCTTTGCATATGCTGTCCCCACTGATGAAGTATCCCTGGGCGGGCACCTTGTTGGCCACTGGCCCACAGTTGGAAGTTGGTGCCGTGGTCTCAGATGGAGCGACTCCACCTAGGAGAAGATGGGAGACAGGTTGAGCCAGGGAAGGAGAGGGCCCTGAGGGGAATCCCCAGAAGCAGTGATTCTCAAACTTGAGTGGGTGGCAGAATTCTCTGGAGGGTTTGGCAGAATGGACTCCTGAGTTTCTGATTCAGTGGGTCTGGGGTAGACCTCGAAATTTCCATTTCTACCAAGCTCCCAGGTGACGCTGATACTCCTGGTCTCACACCTTGAGAAACACTGGGCTAAGGGGTGAGTCAGGACAGCTAGTGGAGCTGCAGTCTGCACCCCAGGGATAGCGAGGGGCTGGCTCCTCTCCCCGCCCATCCTCTGACTTCTCTAAGGAGCGAATGACTCGAGATCTTTGAGACCCAGAAATTCCTTGGTCCAGTCCCAGCAACTTATATTGGAGAGTGTGGGAACCCCGAAAGATCACTGGACTTATCCAGAGGACCATGGCAGGACAAGGCAGAACAGGGGTCTCCTCTCTGCTAGCCCGGTGCTTGTCCACTGGCCCCAACTGCCTCAGTGTCTGTCACACTTGCTTCCCTTCTCAGCCCTTCTGAGTTATATCTCCACTTGACTGGGGCCTTCGGGGACTCAGGAAATAGTTCCTTCCCACCTAAGCCCCGGTCCTCCACTACCAGAGCACCACAGGAGAGGGGCACTAATGGCTTTGGGGGGAGAAAGCCAAATCAGGTGACATCCAATTCCAGTTCTTAGCCCTATCCTGCAGTCACCTCAGTTCCTGGCCTTGGGGAGCTCTGCCCTCTGGGAAAAATGAATACCCTCCAGGACACAGGGGAACGAACACAGAATGGGACATGAAGGAGCAGAGTCAGCAGAGAGGGGCATGAAACCCAGCTTGGACACTGACTTCGTTTAACCGTAGAAATGTTACTTTACTTCCCTGGACCTCAGTTTCTTCTTTTAAAAAATGTGGATTGCAAACATAATGCCTGACACTGAGCTGATGCTTTTCCTTGAGAGTAGTCAGTGTGATTTACAAATTTGTTCAACAATTATTTATTGAGTGCCTAAGGTGTTCCTAGAACCGTTCTAATGTGGGTTGAAGGAGTCACCAAAGCAATGAAAGTCCTTCCCCTCAGAGAATCTGCATTCTAGTGAGAGTGAGGGTATCACAGGGTGCCGACACCTCGCAGGGATAATTTTTCCTGCTCAGAAAGGGATAAGCCCCTGAGAAAAATATAGTGTGAAGTAATTAGTGAAGAAATAAGAGACAAAGTCAGAAAAGTAGTTTAAAGGGAGTGCCTGATAGATTCTTCCAGTCCTGGTTGGGAGCTGGAACAGAACTGCCAGAAAATGGATCGGGTCTTTCTTTTAGGGGGTGCATCAAAGGCAGGGATAAAGGTTCAGTGTGGAGGTGGCTGGTGGTCAGGGACACAGGAAGCATCCCGGTGGAGACAGAGCAAGTGGCATTCAAGAGAGGGCCTGAGTGAAGCTGCATTTTGGGGTGTTATCAGGGTTGAGAGGCAGAACTCCCCACTGCTGGAGAAGCCCACAGAGATGTCGCTTGACTGGCTCTTGTATCTGGTTCTGAGAAGCAAACCCAGCCCCCTTCTCACCCCCATTTGAATTGTAGGATAACCTGGACATCTGCCTTGTACAGACCCCCAAGCCGACTCCGGCAGTCCACACTGTTTATGAGAAGATCCATAAAAGCCCAAAACCCAAAGGGTCACCTAGATCAGGAGTGAACTTGGACGATGACAGGCCTTGGTAAAGTTTGTCCCCCCCTCACTCTTCACCCCAAGTTTTCAGCTATCCCTCCTAGACCCCCATTCTTCTTGATCCATCCCACTGAGATAGCAAAGCAGCATGAGCTTCTCCCTTGGGCTCCCCTCTGTTATGACGTGAATGGTTGTGTCTCCCCTAAAATTCATGAGAAGACTCATGAGTGGGATTAGGCATCCCTTTTGCCCTGTTTCCTTCTGCCATGTGAGGACAAAGCTGATGTTCATCCCCTCTGGAGGATGCAGCACCAGGGGGCCAGCAGCCCTACTGGGGCCTTGACCTTGGACTCCCAGTCTTCAGAACAGTGTGAAATGATTTTCTGTTCTTTATAAATTACTGAGTCTGTGGTACTTTGTTATAGCAACATAAACAGACTAAGAAATGTACCAAAGTTTTCTGACTTACAGATTGTGAGCAGTCATTTTGCTTTTTTAAACTTCAAAGTAGGAGAGGCAGACATTTTAGCAGTTTGCCAGACTTCTGATCACTGACCTCTGGCCGGCTTTACCCCCCTTAGGGGATTGAGCATTTTCATGAAGATAATTGGGATGGAAGGCCTTTGAGGAAGATGGGCCTTGGGTGAAGGACTTCCAGAACATCATAGTCAAGCCCACTACCCAAGATAGAGAGGAGTGGGCCTTGACTGGCCAGGCCCATGAGGCCTGTAGATGGAGATCCAGGTCACTTCAGCCCAGGGTGAGAGGGAACATTTCTTGAGTTTGCTGCCTACTGGGTGATTCTCAGCACAGTAAATTTAATGTCTCAGGGCCTCCCAGAATTCAAGTTATTCACAGACCCCTTTACTTTTTAGCGTTTACATTTGGTGGCACTGGGAATCAAACCCAGGGCCCCGTGCATGCTAACTAAGCACATGATCTACCCCTGAGCCACACCTCTAGTCCAGCCCTTTTATTTTTATTACATAACATATGAATAAAGTACAAAAGACAAAAGGTACGTCTTGTTGAAATTCTGATGTTTTCTCAATTTTGCTTCTATTGTAAATAGAGTCTTCTCCTCAGTATAGTTTGTTTGATTGTGAAGAATTATATATATAATTATAATTATATATTATATATTATAATTATATATTAAGCCACATTACTCAATTTCTCAACTGTTTGTAATAGTTGTTTTACTTCATTCCCTTGAATTTCTGGGGTGAATAACCATATTTATCAACAAACAACTGTAAATTTTGCTTCTTTCCAGTTTTTATGCCTCATTCATTTCTCTTGCATGAGTACATTGGTTAGTACCTCCAAAGCCATGTTAAATATAGTGATGATAACATGATAGTTACTTTGTTCCTGACTACAATGTCAATGGTTTCGCCATTATTCATTTTTTTTTTGGGTTAAGGATATCATATTTTATCATGTTACAAAAGTATATATGATTTTTAACAATTTTTTTATTCAAAAACAAAGTGTCAAATTTTATCATTTTCTTTTCAGCATCTGAATATATCGTGTTTTTCAGTTTTTCAATTAACAACACATTAATAGAGTTCTGTTCTTGAATTACTGAAATGAACCCCACTTAATGTAGTCTTTTATTTTGCTGTTTGATATTATTTTTATTTGGGATTTTTGCATCATTATTCATAAATGAAATTATATTGTATTCATTTTATTTTTATCAGTTTCTTATGTGTGTTATGCTTATTAAATACTCTTTTTATCCTCAATTTTTATAATCAAATGCAAATTTGCTTTATTGTCCACATGAGAAAATTCTTTTTAAAGAATTCTTATTACCCAGTGTTGATGTAAATCATTTTATAATAATGTTAATTAAAGATATGCAAACATAAAACTACGTATAAATCACTTTTTATTATTATAAGCCAAAAAGAGGTATGTAAAGTGAAGAAAACACAAAATAGTATACAATGAAGCAATGCTGTGTTAATTTTTCATTGCAGAAGATACCTGAGATAAATCAACTCGTGAAGAGTGAAGGCTTATTTTGGCTTGCAGTTTCAGAGGTTGCAGATCCTGGTAGCTTGTCCCCATTGATTTTGAGCCTGTGGTGAGACAGGCCATCATGGTGGGGAGTGCATGACCAAGGAAGCAAAGGGAGAAAAAGGGGTGGGGGTTTCAATATCCCTCCATACCTTAAAACTATGGCAAGGGAAAGCCAGTCCCCCAAACCAAAGGCCAAATGTTCTCTTTGACATGTGGATGTTAATACACAATCATTGAGGGGGAGGGGTGGAGAAAAGAATAGGAGTTCATTGGATTAGACAAAGGGGGGTTAAGGGAAGGGAGGGGGATGGGAACAGGAGAGGCAGTGGAATGATGGTACCTAACTTTCCTGTGTCCATAGAGGAGCACACCACCGGTGAAATGCCACGTCATGCACAACCACAAGAATGGGATCCTAATTAGAATAAGTTATACTCCATGTATGTATAATACATCAGAATACATTCTACTGTCATGTATATCTAAAAAGGACAACAACAACAGCAACAAAAAGAACCCATGGAAAGAGAGATTCCAAGGTGCTGAGTAAAGGTGCCCCAAGTTCACCTCCTCCACAGGAAACAAAACAACTAATGACTAGCTGCATTTTGAGTTGATGGCTAAGGGAGAGCAATGGAACTCAGCAAGAGAGAGAGGGGAACCTCATCTGTCCTGGGAGGGCAGCAGAGAGGCAGGGACAAAGCCCAGAGCAACAGCAGTCCCAGCTCTTTGCCAGAGAGATTTCCCATTTCGGGAGAGAGAGAAACTGGGGAGTCCCAGGAGTCTCAACACTCTGGCCACTGGCAACACTGGCTATAGGGGAGATACACAGTCATCACAGTCTTGGACCCCAGTTATGAGAGGTACCTGGAGCCCACAGAGTAGTTTTGTTTCAGGGCAGAAATTCAGCATTGTCTACTGCCCAAACCCCGCGGTCCAGGCAGCTGTTGCTTGGTGCTATCTTGAGAATGGAGTCACTATGGGATTCCTACTTCTCTATGGATAGAAACTTCTGCAGATCCCCGGACATTCTACCACACCAGCATGAAGGCCACAGCCTCACAGACCAAAGTAGGCCAAGCATTGCATCTGTGCCCTACCCACCAAGCCCATGCAATGCCCTACACTACAGGGACAGATGATTTAGCTTGACAGGAGGGTACTGCCTACAAGACCTGAGAAACAAAGGCATTTGTCCCTGGCACCTGGGGTCCATTCTTCTCCAGGAATTGCTGCCTCCATTGTCTCCTATAACTGACCACCCATTTGCCCATGCCACTTCTAGGTCTATGGGTATGTGTTCCATGCCCCCAATGCCACTGGGGCTGCCATTTCCCCTTTCACAGAATAGCTCATGTTAGTGATATGAGGAAATGTCCACCATCTTCCCTGTCACTGGCACCACCACTCCCATTGCCAGAGTGGTCACATAATGTACACTGACCCACACTGCTGTGGGCACCACACCTTCTGGGCTGCGAGATGCCACCACAGCTGCACATACCTTGGAGACAGATGGACTCCACTGCTGCAGGCACAGTGTCCAGGGCTCTTGATGACAGCTGAAGAAGTTATAGGGAGACCACACTACAATGCCAAACTTGAATCACCGTCAACACCCCCTGTCAAACTGACACCCCAAGAGGTGTCTTTTAGGAGAAAGATTTTGCTACAAAAACCACTTATGACAGTGGTTTAGTCAATCCGCCAGATGCACTAATATCAGTGTAGGGACACAAGAAAAAACAAGGCACCATGACACCTCCAAAGGAATAGTAAGTCTCTAGCAAGAGACCTCAAAGAAAAGGATATTAATGAAACGACTGGTAACAAATTCAAAAGAATAATGCTAAGGAAACTTGAGGAGACACAAAAGAATATAGACAGACACCTAAATCAAATTAGAGAAATAATCCATGATATGAATGAGAAGTTTAGCAGAGAGATAGATTATGAAAAAGAACCAAATATAAATCTCAGAACTGTTCTGGTGGTACAGTTCAGTGGTAGTCTGTGTGCTTAGCAAGCATGAGGGCCTGTGTTCAATCTCCAGCACCTCCCAGAACAGTCTTGGAACTAAAAAAATGCATTAAATTAATAAAGACAGAATGGATCAAATAATATACAAAATAACCAGAAAATAATGAACAAAATGTCACAAGTAACATTTTTGCTCATCAATAATAAATTTAAATATTAATGGATTAAATTCCCAATCAAAAGGTACAGAGTGGCTGAATGAGTCATAAAAAGACACCCAGTTATACGATGCCTACAGAAAACTCACTAGTGGAGGGCTAGTTCCACAAATGGAACCCAAAGCAACCAGGAGTAGCTATCCTTATATGAGATAAAATAGACTTTAAACCAAAAACTTAAAAAAAGCCACTTTATATTGATAAAGGGATTAATTCAACAAAAGAAAATAATACTTAGAAAGATGCATGCCCCCAACACAGGAGTACCCAATTATATAAATCAAACCTTATTGTACAAATACATGGAAGTTAAACAACATACTCTTGAATTGCCATTGGGTCACTGAAGAAATCAAAAGGGAAATTAAAAAATTCTTAAGCAGATGAAAACATGGAATACGCAGTTTCCATCAGCTTTTGACCAAGAAGACCTGAGAAGGACAACATAGAGGAGGAAAAGTTTATTTGGGGACTCTTGGTCTTAGAGGTCTCAGTCCCTAGGTGGCCAACTCATTCCTCAGGTCCCAAGGTGAGGCAGAAATCATGGCCAGGAAAGCAGCTTAGAACATTGCAGCAGAAACAGAGAGAGGGACTTCTCACACCACAGACAAAAATATGTACCCCAGAGGCATGTCCTCGATGACCCAGCTTCTGCAGCCACACTCTGCCTGCCTACTGTACCACTCAGCTAACCCCCATCAGAGGATTAATGCACTCATAAGGTTGAGGCTCCCATAACCCAATCATTTCACCTCTGAACCTTCTTGCACTGTCTCACTTCTAAACTGTAATAACAGTAAAAGAAGTACTAAGAGGATGTTTATAGTGATATATGTTTACATCACATTCAAAAATCAAGTCAAAATGGACCAGGGACTTAAATGTCAGAACAGAAACTCTGGGTTGGATCCCCTGCACCAAAATAATAATAATAACTATTATTATTATTATTATTATTATTATTATTATTATTATAAATACTACGATACAATACTGTATGCTTTATATTTTTTACATTTTTATATGTTTTTATATATAACTAAAGAGGCAATTCCAGGCTTAGCTTTGTAAGAAACAGTGACACTGTTTTCCAGAGAAGCTGCAATGTGTCACGTTGCCATCAGCAACTGAGTGATCCGGATTCTCTGCATCCTCTCCATCAATTGGCGCTGCCATTATTTTTATTTCAGTCCTTCTGTGGAGTGGTGGTGTCAACGTCTTGTTGTAGTTTTAAACTGTGCTCTCTGGTGGCTACTCATATGGAAAATGTTGGCCTATGCTTCTTTCCCATCAGATGTGTCTTTCCCCCATTGTAGCAGCTGAGTCTGTGGAGGTTTGTAGATAGAGGACATTCTAGTGGCTTCATTCCCTGAGCAAAAGTTCTCCTTCCTTTCCTTTTCTTCTTATTTATTTATTTATTTATTTTTTGAGTCCTGGCACATGCTAAGCAAGCACTTCACCATCAAGCTACATCCGCAGCCCAAGTCTGTCATGCTGTATTCTTTAAAAGTTTAATTTAAAAAAGTAAATAAAATAAAATAAAAATGCAAATTTAATTTCTTTTTTAAAAAATAAACGACAAAGGATCACTCAATCTGTCATTTCAGTTCAAACAGAAATGAGTTCATCGTGGCTCAAAAGGACAATTTGTTTTGTCAATATTTAAAGGAAGGAAAGTATGTTGTGACTAGAGACACTGGAGTCACCTCCCTGCACTCCCACATCACAGAGGGCTCCAGGCAGCTTAGATATGACCGGCCTCCATCTGCTTAGGTGAGACCAAGCACACATGTGCAGGCAAGGCAGAAGCAGCTGCATCTCCTCTGCAGGACTTCCACCCTCAATGGTTGCTGGGGAATCCATGGCACAAACCCAAGAAGGCAGCTGGAGGTCGAGGTGGCTTCCTGTGTTCAAGGCTCGGCCACCCATGCCATTTTCTCAGCAAGGTGATGATCATTATGGCAGAACAACAGAGCCAGCCTACGTTAACCAGCATCTCAAGAAAAGAAGAGTGGATGGAACCGTGCTGGGTGTCCATGGATGGACAAATAGATAAACAAAGTGTGGTCTATATACACAATGGAGTTTTATACAGCCCTAAAGAAAGATGAAATTACAGCATGTGCAGGAAAATGGATGAAACTAGAGACCATCGTATTGAGTGAAATAAGTCAAAGGAGGAAGGTTAAGGCTGTATGTTTTCTCTCATAGGCAGAAGGTAGAGAGGAAAAAGGAAAACAAAAGTGGGGGATGGATCCCCTAAAACACAAAGGGAAATCAGTAGAGGAAAGAGACAAAGGGGCGGGGGGCAAGGAGGGAGGGGGAGATGAAGGGGAGTGATATTAGCCCAATTAGATCCTTATCCATTTTGTGCCTACACGAACATGTTGAAGTGGCCCCCCTTTCTCCACAGAAAAGCCCTCTTCACCATGGCTGATTTTAGGACTGTCTGCAAAAGAATCTCTGAGAAAGAGTCCATTGTAGATAAACTTCCT